TATCACCACTGCAGGATGTTTTACATGCAAAAGGCTACAATAGCGATTCCCCTAGTGGTGTTATGTGCTACAACATCAAAAACTACGAACCAGAAAAAATTCCTATACCCCGACTAGAGTGTGTAGTGAATGTAAATATTATCAGTAATAATAACAAATCAATGTCGCGTCTGCGATTTCGCTTGGTTGTATGCGACAAAATGTTTCATTTCGGCGTTCTACACTGTAAAAATTATGTGATTCCTAAGTCCTGGTAATTTATGTTTTTCCATTATTTTAAATCATCAAATTAATTTAACCAATTTCAACTTCACTTTTTAAGTTATATGAGATTCAACTTGATTTTTAAGTCAATTTAAAGGTAGTTTAAGTTGAAATGATCTCAACTGTACTTAAAAAGTTAAGGCAGCACCTTAAGTTTTGAAGTTGAAGTCAGTGGATTTTTTTTTAGTGTTGACTATTCAAAAATATCATAAAATAAACAATAGTAACAGTTAACAAAAGGCAGAAATGACCATAAACATGAACATAACCATATAAATGACAATGGGGAAAATAATCAAAACGAAGTTTTATGAATGACTCATTTTGCCGAAAATGTTTGTCTTCGACTCAACATGCTCTTGAAAATCTGCATTTGCAATTTCGTGAACATAGTGTGACTAAAGGAGTCAAGACATTTACAGTTGAGTTTCCCCTCTGGACCTCTTTTAAAGCACGGATGTGGACACATACCTGTGGTTATAATAAAGCTCTTGTGCTGTAATTGGAAGTAAGGCATTTCATTATTTCACTATATTGTCTCGAGCAATCAAAACAACTTGGTTTTATTGAACAGGCTCTCGCTTAGCCCCCATCACCGGCCCTCCAAGTGCTATCATGGCCAAGTGGAGCAGAAAGAAGCAATTGTGCACTTTTATTGAACTGTAATGCACTGATTCATCGCACAGCTTCAGGAGTCGAGCTCCTCTGGACTACCTTCACGGTGGAAAGGTGCCAACGCTTTGTCCCGCTCTGCATAAAAATAAATGAGAAGCGCTGGAGCCAGGGAAGCAAAGCCAAAGCTTATTGTTCCATTCCAGCTCCTGGCCTCTAGAAGACCATTTAAATAACTGGATGAGACAATCAAGAGCTCTTCTAGAGAAGGTGGATAGCTGTAGCTAAACAGTCCATTGAAAAATGACAATTTGAGTTGGCCAACGCAGCTCCGCATAAAAATAAATGAGAAGCGCTGGAGCCATGAAGCAAAGCCAAAGGATATTGTTCCATTCCAGGTCCTGGCCTCTAGAAGGCCATTTAATTAACCGGATGTGACAATCAAGAGTTCTTCTAGAGAAGACGGATACGGTCACTCGCTGCAGTAGCATAACTGAAAAATGACAATTTGAGTTGAAAGTTTGGTTTAGCCCTTTCGAGCGGAACAAATTAGGATTTAGCGTAAGGAAACGCTGGATGTTGAGGAAAGATGTAATCAATCTGAAACATGTGATCCATAACATGCCTAACCATCTCTGAGCTTAATAGACCTGCTAATGTTCTGTGCTTTTTGTGGGACAGACAGAGTATTTCACCTCATGTGTTTAACTTGGGGTTAAAAATCACGATTTATTCCTTAAAGAAGACATATTATGCCCCTTTTTACAATATGTAATATAAGTCTCTGCTGTCCCCAGAGTGTGTCTGTGAAGTTTCAGCTCAAAATACCATTTATTATATCATTTTGAAAATGCCTATTTTGAGTGGAAACACAAACATGCTGTTTTTCGTGCCTGTCTCTTTAAATGAAAATGAGCTGTTGCTTCCCGCCCCCTTTTCCAGAATACTAGAGCTGCGCCTTTACAGCTCGGACCTGCTAAAAACACTTTTGCCACGTCACCAAGGGAGCGAAATCAGACGCGCTCGTTTGTTCAGACGCGTGCAGAAAAAGGCTTACCAAAACAAAGTTACTGGATTAATCTTTTTCATGTTTCCTTGGTTGGTAGATGCACCGGGGACCTGATTATAGCACTTAAAACCTGGAAGAGTCAGATTTTCATGATATGTCACCTTTAAAACAAAACATGGAGGAGAGCGGGGCATGTTGTCATGAGATTTTTAGGGTAAGTTTATTTATTATAAATCAATCAAGGGCACAATCATGGAGCGAGGCCACCCTCGATCAACTTTCTTATATACACGAACATGCTTTAACCATCAATGGTGTAGTCAAATAAAAATTAACATCTTTAACTTATAGAAAATGATAAGTGAAAGTCGCGAACTTTCCGCGAACTGGTTCGAGGCACAGGATTTTAAAGAGTTTTAAGAGAATAAAGAAAAATAGTTCAAGAACTAGAATATCTTGTAATGCACACTGAAAAAATAAATGGTGTGGAAACAATTTTCACCCAGAAATCACTAATACAATTTACAAATGGCGCTAATTACAAAGAATCTCCAAGTATCGCATTGAAATAAACTGAAATCAAAACTGAAATAGAAAAACATAACACTAAAATAATGGTTTAGAGAACACTTTCTCTCTGAAATTACTAGTTATTGGCCACCTTCTCAAGCCCCTGCAGATAATTCAATATAGCAATATTCCAGTAGTCTCTCTCCAGGGAAATCTGATAGGCTTCATCCAGACTATATTTTGTCTTGAGGAAGGCATCTTGCTTCCTTGTGTGAAATAAGTTGGAGCTGGAGTTGGTATTATTATTATTTCTTCTGCATTTTAGGATTCATGATCCTACTATATATACTTTTACTTGCAAAACCAGCATGATTAACTTATGATGTTTGGATAATGAAAGTTTAATTTGTTTTGATAAAGCAACATGCTCACATACAAATCTCTTTAATATCTCAAATGTTTCTCTTGTCATTAAATGGAGATCAAACTTCAGCTGAAATCTCTGGCTTCTCAGATGTTTCTCCTGAAAAGACATATAAACTCACTTGTGTCTCCTGTAGAGTTTCAGAAGAAATCTCAACAATATCTGTGCTCATTTTTGCCAATACGCAAACATCTGCAATCAAAAGTCTCATTATCTCAATATTGACTCAAATGTTTCTCATCTAATTATCAAATGAGCATTTTTTGTTTGTTTTTCTTAAACTCATATTAGTTGTGTGCTCTCGAAGCTATAATAGAACATATCCAAAACAAACAAAAGAGAAATATCATGTTTGTTATTATTGTAATCTATGATTTCTGCTAACTTTGGTGTTTACTGTCAGCAAATTCAAGTTACTTCAAATATTTAGGCTATTCAGTGTGTTTGCAGAAAACGAGCTGTTTCGTTACAGCCAAATGAACTTCCTGTCAGTCTGAACCACTCTGTTCCTGTTTTAGTGTCTGTAGTGTATTAGACATGCAAACCCTGACCTCTAGTGATCGAGAGGAGTTAGTGACACTTCTGATGCTTTGCAGAGCTTTCTTGAAGTCTGGTTCATTTTATTGAATCTCTTCGGACGATGAACTGGTTCAATAAAAACGAGACGCCGATTCATTCGATTCATTCAAAGTGTTCCCAGAAGTCCATGCACAGCGTTTAACACGTTCACTGTTTAAAGGTAGGCCTAAATATGTAGTTAAATACAGTGCAGAGGCCCGTTTCAGAAAGGAGGTTTAGTGAAAACTCCGAGTATATTAACCCTGAAATGAGGGAAGCAAGTGCATTTAAGTGAATCTTACCTAAAACATGTAAAATTATCCGCCATGGGGTAAGAAAAATAATCTTAATGCAAACAGAAACAAGATTATATTTTATTTTTCTTACCCCATTGGCAGATAATTTGCAAAATAAGAAAAATGCACTGAAATCCCCCCAGGAAACAAGACTAAATATCTTGTCTTTTTTCTTATGTAGAAAATGCATCTTGATTTAAGAGTCTTTAGATATTTTGACTGGAAACAACAAGACAAAAAAACAAAGTAAGAAAAGTATTTTTTGCAGTGCAGGTACATTCATTTATTGCACATATTTTTCATCATGCAGACACATTTAATCAGATTATACAGAATCTGAGGCTGCATTAAGTAATACATTTAATACAATAATACATTTAGTTACATTAATGTAATAAAACAGTCTTAAATGTTAATTTTTCTTAAATGAAATATTTAATAAATCATTTTTATTTCATGAAAGACATGTATAATATATTTGCTAGATTATTTATTTATTAATTAATTTTTTTATTTTTGTTTCTCAAATATACTCTTCAAATATACTGTCAAATGCAAATTGTGTGTGTTGCTTCAAAAGAGCAATCATACATTTGTGTTGTGTTTTATTTTCTTGTTTTTATTCATTTATTGCTTAATCATATAATCATACAATAATATATAATCATAAGTCATTTATGTAATGTATCATTTGATTATTTTTAATAATTAATGTTATTTAATAATTAAATCATTTATTACTGGTATTATGTTTTTATACTTAACATTTATTATGTTTGATTGATCTTCGTGAATAGGAGATAAGAGGGAATGTTTATGGAAATTAAAAGTTTATGGGATGTTGTTGTGAATCAGTTAGTATTTCTACTGGTCAGATGAAGTCTGAGCACTGAGATGCAACTAAGATTATTTAATAAACTCTACTCCTTTTTTTTTTTTTTTTGTATAAATGTTTTTTATTATTATTTTGTATGCTAAAACGTGTAAGTTATTCGAATGAATGATTTGACATCACAAACGTTTTCCCGCTGTGTGTGGAGTTTAAAGACGCTCCCTTACGCACTATAGGCGAATATCCAGCTAATATTGAAGCTGAAAATAACACTACCGCGCTTGAAGCTTGATCTGATGTATGCTATTACTATACTAGTTGAATGCCTGTAATCGTTCATTCGGGAAAAACCGGATCAAACGGCCACCGGATGTCGCCGTCACTGTCCGCGTCACAAACACAAAGTGAAAGTAAAAGTTGCATAGAGAGTTGATGTTTCTCCATTTAAACAGCCAGAGTCGATTCTATACGGAATATTAAAGTGTTTCATAGGAAGCTTTATAAAAGCTAAGCCATGATTTTACGTGTAGCTGCTTCATAGAAAGGTGGTGATTCTGTGAATCTGTGTGTGAATAAGGTGAGTGCTGAGAGCTCAGGTCTCTGCTTTACAGGGGACTTCCGCATTCAGATTTCCTCTAACATTGTGTATCTGAGTGAACGCTGTGTGTCATGATTCTGTTTCTCTCCGGATCCGTTCAGCTGAATTATTGTGTTTGTTTGTCATTTCCATTCAGAGTCAGTGCTGCAGATCAGATTCTGTTTCATCATGGATGACACACAAACATCCACAGATGAAGATGTTTCTCCAGGATGCAGGTACATTGAATAAACACTGTATTAAATCACCTTGAATGAGGGTAGATGGGAGTCTCCATCGTGTTTTTGTGTCTGGAGGTTTTTAAGTTAAAATTAAGATTTTATTTAAAAAGGTCAAAAAGCCTCTTCATGGAGTGTTTTTGATGAACAATACTTAAAGAATGTAGAAGAAAATTATTATCATTATAAAGGATTAAATCTGTTTTGTTATAGTTCATTTCATCAGAAGAGATCAGAAGCAGAGTCCAGCTGTGTGTCTATGAGGAGTGACGCGTCTATGGGTCGTAAAATAGAGTTTAAGAGTGGAGATACAAAGACTGATCTCAGGTACATTTTTATATAAATATTATTATAGCATGTCATTTTATATTATCAAAATAGTGTTATCTTTATCTTTAAATATCTTTATCTGATATCTTAACATATAGTGTTACACAGAGAGATGCATTTGTGAAAGCACTCAGTTCTATTTAACATGTTTTATAATAAAATAGTGTAAATTAAATGATCCTGAAGTGCTTTTTAAAGTGATTGTTTAAATATTAAATGAAGATGTACTTTGTTAAATATGGTAATTCAAATTATTCACTTTAATCTCTCTCTGTTATAGTTCAGTTCAGCAGAAGAGATCCAGCTGTGTGTCTATGAGGAGTGATGCTTCTATGGGTCGTAAAATAGAGTTTAAGAGTGGAGATACAAAGACTGATTTCCGGTACATTTTTATATAAATGGGTAATTCCGTGTCAACTCAACCAGAGGTCCTCGGTTCAAATTTTAGATTTTGCTAATATTTTGTCTGAAGAAAGAAAATAGTGATGAACAGGGTGCGATTTGTAGGGGAGGGGGCTGGTCTATGTATCCCTGCCTCTGATAAAAAAAAATATATATATCCCCCGGGTGATGTTACTCCATCAACCACCAACAGAGCATATACAATACCAAAAATAAAAAAATATATTTTTTAAAATATCAGCAAGTAAAATACTGCAACATGACAATACAAACAACAATTAAATCAGAAATGGACTTGAAAATGACTAAAACCGTTAGCGCTCCTGTTTACTAGAGACCATCTGCAGAGCTTTACAGAAAGTGACAGTATGAGATTATTACACAATGTTTTTGCTCAAAACTCACTCTACTGTGACCTAATGCAGATTGTATATAATAAACTGACGCATTAATGTATTATGAGACAGAACTCAGAAGTTTACAGTCACCGTGATGTGGGAATTATGATCACGCAGTACTGACTGATGGATCGGCAGAGAATCATCTTTCTGCGAGTCATTATGAAACTATGGTTCTATTCTATTTAAAGAAATATGAGGTAAACGTGTGAATACATAATGTGCGCACTTTTGGAGTAAAAGTTTGCATGTTGTGAAGTAAAGCACTGATCAAAAATAAATGGAAGCAAATGCGATTGAATATGTACAGGTTTGTCTCGTTATTCTATTCAAAATATCATTAACTCCTGATTGATTTTGCATTCCTGGCAGAAAAAAACTATTAGTGTCATTACCAAGTATTATTATAAATAGTGGTGAAATATTGAAGCTGGGTATATAATATGGGTATGAATAATCTATTCTCAAGGTCAAATCAGAATATTTATTGTAAAAATGTTTCTGTAACAGCTGCCAAAAATAATCTAGATATGTATAGCTCCACAGTGATTTGTGATATATTTTCAAGAAAAAAACAAAACAAAACATTTTTTTCAAAACAATGGTGATTATTCAAAAATGGGGAAAGAGCACTTTTCAAGTTTTTTCTCCAAGGTTTGTAGGCCTGTAACTCAAAAAGTGTTAAAGATATCTTAATGCCCTTTTAGATGGTTCCTTCTGGGTTTGTCAGTGGAGTCTCTTCAGATTCTCCTACAACAAATAATGACGCTGAAAAGAAGCAGCTCTGACAGCAATGAGGAAACAGTTGAGTACATCAAGAAGAAGATCAGGACCATTGACTCTCCAGAGAAATCCATCAATCTGTTCCACTGTCTGAATGAACTGGGTGATCATTCACTAGTGGAGGAAATACAACAGTATCTGAAATCTGGAACAATAAAGGAAACCAAACTCTCTTCATCTCAGTGGTCAGCTGTGGTTTTTGTGTTGTTGACATCAGAAGAGGAACTGAATGTGTTTCATCTTTATAAATTTGTTAAAGGAAAGTTTTATATCAAATCAGTGACAGCGTGAGATTCAGAGTCAGAGAAGTGGCATAGGAATCAATTATTCAGGTTTGTCAATAATTAAAAATGTATTTGCAAAAAAAGGAATTTAATAATTGTAATTTTTAAACCACTGACATTGTGCAACAAAGCAATATTATTTATCTTTCTTAAATGAGGCTCATGTTTTTGTTCTGTCACTTTTTAGATCTCAGTCCAATGATCCATCAAACATGTTGATTTGTGTTTTAAGTTTGTACTTTATTTTTAATAATGGATTCACTGCTAAACTGATCTGATCTGAGAGAGTGAAGAGTGTGTCATTGTTCTCTACAGGTTGAGTAAGTGTGGTGTCACAGATGAAGGTTGTGCTGCTCTGGCTTCAGCTCTGAGATCAAACCCCTCACACCTGAAACACCTGAATCTGTCTCTGAATAAACTGGGAGATTCTGGACTCAAGCTGCTGTCTGCTGGACTGGAGAATCCTCACTGTAAACTGGAGAAACTGTGGTAAGATTTATATTTGACTCTCACACATGAAACACAATGTAAAGTATGTTTGAAGTGTTGAGTCTCTTTCTGCTGCTGTGAGTTCAGCTGATTGAGCTGTAAATGATTGAACACATGAGCTGCTCCTCAGTAACATGATACTGCAGGACTGAGAGTCACACTGAAATACACACTTTCACACACAATCAACATTTCAGTCTCTTGACTTTAGATGAGCGTATAGAACTTGATAGTACAATCCCTTAGAATAATCGGCACTTTGTTGACATCTTGAGTGGGGAGTAGGGGCAATCACTTCATTGAGGTCATCAGGTGGGCACCCTCCTTCCTTGGTGTTTCGTTGATAGGCCCACGACACCTCCAAAGGGCTCAACAGTGACACCTGGCGTCCCAGGTGCACTCCCCTCTGCTTTTACCCCTCTAGGTCATTTTGCAGCCCATTTGGGATCCTTCCTTTTTAGCCACAGCCAGTTGCTGCTTCGCTCAGCAGCCTCTGACAGTGACCTAACGGCTTGTCGTAAGGCCTGTCCTCTGACTCCCAACCCCTTCAGTAGCCTGGTTGTTGCCGTGGCTACAAAACCTCTGCACCCAACCTCTACGGGGAGCAACTGGGTTCGCCAGCCCCGTTGTACTGCTTCGGCTATTAGGTCTGAGTACTTCAGCCTTTTACGTTCATTTGCTTCACCAATTGTAGCCTCCCATGGCACAGTTAGTTCCAC